CAAGAAAAGTCTATTGCTATTCACAGAAGGAAATGAGTGGGGCAGGCAGTCTGCCGGAAATTGGCATTTTTCCATAAAAGTATATCATGGGACATGTTTAATAAAAAGTTTGCGATCTCAATACTAAAGCAGGCAAAGTATCAATTTTAGTAGACTATTTTCTACCCTAATAAATTAGCAAACAAGATAAAAGACAGGTCACAGGTAACTTTGACAAAAATTTGCTGAAAAAAAAAGACAAGTTGAGTTTTCTACACGATAGAATACTTTTTTAAAAAACCTTATCTTCTGTGACATTGGAAAGCAGGAAATATGAACCATAAGTCGTGGGAACAATACTAACTATAATGATGTTGGCACTAAGAAAAACTGAGCATAATATTTAATAACTATAATCTAAAAGCAAAAAATAAAAATAAAGGAGAGAATTGTACCCTTCATTCATAAGAAAATCTTTCACACTTTGAAGAACCTAAGCAGAGAATCAATTATGTGTCATTCTTCATTATGAATAGGAAAAGGCCAGTTAATTCAATCAGTGTACTGTGTGCAGTGACCCATGCTAGGCACTATGGGGAGACAGAGATCTTAAGATACAATCTCTAAAATACATAGTCAAATGGAATGAATGAGACAAAATACATTACTACAGTAAGAATGTTAAGTGCCATAAGAGGTACAATAAGTATTTGGGGGGGTAGGGCTAAGTAGGTAGGGAGGGGTTACCTCCAGTTGGAAGGAAGATAGCAGAAAAAGCTTCAAGCAGAAAATATCATTTCAGACTGGATATAATTGAGCAATATTCACAGGAAACCTCTCCCAAAATATCCTCCTTCCTTTCTCAACAAATTCAGTACCTAGCTCACCATCTTGCTCCTACCCTCGTATTAGGGGACTTAAAACACACAGGTAGTTTTTCTTACATCTTAATTTCCCAATTCATCAACCCACTCAACTCATCCATTCTACATCAGTTATACAACTTGTCATCATTTCCAGGATCAAGAACTCTAAGCTGTTCTTATCTAACCATGATCTATCATAAAATCTCTCCCTATGTCTCAGACACTAAGAACTAGACCTATGATTCTGCAGACAAATAAAAATATATAAAGCATTTATTAAGCACTTACTATGTGCCAGGCACTGTGCTACATGCCAAGAAAACAAATACAAGCAAAAAAGAAAGACAGCCCCTGGCTTCAAGGAGCTTATATTCTTATGGGAGAAGACAACACATAAAAGGGAGATGAAAAACAAGAAGAAGGAAATTCCCTCTACCAATGCAGGTTGACCCCTCCTATGAAATACGTAATCTTAAAGAGTTGTCTAAAGCACTAAAGGATTAAGTGATGTGCCCAGGGTCATGCAGCCAATATGTGTTAGAGGCTGGACACGGACCAAAGTCTTACTGGCTCTGAAACTAACTCTCTGTCCATTAAGCCAAAACTCTCCTAAGTATCTTACATTTCTTTGAGTTCTTTCCTGGGCCATCACCCCTGTACATGCTATGTTCTCCTCCTTTGATAATCCTGATGCCTTAATGAAATCAATTCAACTCTACACATCCTCTAGTCTAAAATTCCTTGATACCCCAAATTGCTGCTCATATCTTAAGCTCCAACTCAGGAATGTTCCCATCACTTGAATTCTCCAATTACTTCTGCTTTGCTGTAGAGAGCTGGGAAAAGTCCTGGAGGGGAGGAGGGGGTTCTGACGGGATCCACTACTAATATATGTTTTCCAGTTAGAACTTGTCCTCATTGAAGCAAAGAAATCCTTCTACTTCTCTCTAAATGACTTCCTATCCCATTAACAACACTGGTTTCACATCTTCTCAAGACCCTCCTCTCCCAGTCCTCTCAGATGAAGACCTCAATTGATAATTTATGGAGAAAATCAGGGACATTTGCTGAGAAGTCTCTTTTCTTCATCTCAAATCCCCTTGACATCATCCCCAATTATCTCATGCTTTACTCCAGTCTTTGAAGAAGTGGCCTTTTTCCCCAAAAAAACTAACCTTGGTACATGTATGCTGGATCCCATCTCCTTCCATCTTCTATAGCAAATTGCTCCCACTATCATCTCTTCTCTCTCATTAATCTTCAATCTCTTCCTTTCTACTATCTCCTTCCCTGCTTCCTAAACAGGCACATTTCCCCCATCCTTAAAAATACTCTCACCTAATCCTACCATCTGCACTAGCTATTATCCTATAGCTCTCCTCCCTTTCCCAACCCAATTCTTTGGGAAAACAGTCTATCTTCAGTATTTCCACTTTCCCACCCTTCTACAATCTGGTTTCCAACTTCATTACTCAACTGAAACTGCTTTCATGAACAATCTCTTAACTGAAAAATGTAATGGCCATATCTCAGTGCTTACCATTCTTGACCTATTTGCAGAATTTTACACTGCTGACCACTCTCTCCTAAATATTCTCTCTTCTCTGGGTTTTTTACTACACTGCTCTTTCATGGTTTTCTTCCTATCTGTCCAAACATTCTTCCATCTCCTTTGCTGACCACTACCTGGACGTATAGGCCTTCGTCCTACCCTGAGCCCTCTTCTCTTTTCTCTCTACAGTCTCACTTTGTAACCTCATCAACTTTCATGGGTTTAATTATCATCTCTATATAGATGAATCTGAGATGCATACGTATTTCCAGTCGTAGTCTCACTCCTGAGCTTCAGTTCTGTATTACAGACTATTTATTGGCCATTTTGAACTGGATGTCCCATAGGCAAATCAGATTCAATGTTTAAAACTCAAACTGTTAACTCCCCGAGCCCCTAAACCTACCCTTATTCCCAATTTTCCTATTTGCATTAAGGATACCAACATACTGCCATTCATTCAGATTCACAACCTCAGTATCAACTTTAACTCACTCTCATTAACCCTACATATCTAATCAGGTGCTAAATCTTGTCATTTCTATGTCCACAACATCTCTCAGATATACCACCCCCCCTTTTTTCATCTACACAGCCAACACCTTAGTACAGGCCCTCATCACTTCTCATCTGTTCTTGTCCAACAACTTCTAGATAAGTCTCCTTGCCTCAAGTCTCTCCCTGCTCCAGTTCATCTTCTACAAAGTCACAAAAGTGATCTTCCTAAAGAACAGGTCTGACAATGTTACCTTCTCTCCCAGATTCTCTATTACCTCTAGGATCAAATACAGAATCTCTGTTTGGCATCTAAAGCTTTTCACAACTTGGACCTTTTCCTTCTTATTTACTTAGGACATTATTCCCACCCATATTCTCTAAAGACTAGCTTTACTGATCTACTTGAGGATTCTCACACACAATAGTTCATCTCTCATCTCTGTGTTTTTGCACAGGCAATAATGCACAGAGCATTACTGAAATGCTCTGCCACCATAACGCTGTCACCTAAAATTCTTTGTGTCCTCCATGACTCAGCCCAAGTACCACCTTCTGCATAGGGCCTTTCCTGATCCCCCCAGATATTAAGGTTTTTCCATCTAAGGTTTAACTTATATGTGATTTGTATATACTTATACACATATGTATTATTTCCCCCATTTAAAATGTAAACTTGAGGGCAAAAGCTATTTTGTTTTATCTGTATGCCCAGCACCTAGCATAGTTCCTGACACATATAACTATGCTCTATGTCAAGAAAAAATAAGACCTCCTCTTCTTCCCAACACACAACATTTTTAGACTGGGAAGTGGTATGGGGAGAATACTGCATATCATAATATTTGAGGGTCACTAAGTGTTTAGCACATTAGGTGACAGAAGAGATAAAGAAAAAATAGAGGTTATATTCCTCCATCCATTTAGAAGATAACAACTTATACAAGGCCATAAAATACAAACCACACATAATAATTATTAAACAATAATTATATTATCTTACATTTATGTAACGATAGTTACATCTTTATGTGACTTGATACTTATAATTATCCTAATACAGGGTACAATTTTTGTCTCCATTTTTCAGATGAGGAAACTAAGGATCAGAGTTTTAGTGACTTATGTGAGGTCACATAGCTGCTAAGTTTTCTGACGCTAAAACAAGAACCCTTTGCATTATAACTTGCAAAGAAATATAAGATTATGGGCCCAAATGAGTGGCAATGGACATTTAAGTGCTACAATTTAGGGAAGTACAGAGTAATGGGTGTTTAACATGGGTTCAAGAAATCAAAGATGGCTAGAGTTAGGTGCTTAAGAAATGTCTGGTAACTTAAAGTAGGGCTTATCTTTGGATAAAAAAGATGGGAAGGGAGAATTCTAGAAGAATTCTAGAAGAGGGGAATAGCTTTCTAACCTTCAAGTTCAGATTGATCTTCCTAACACTGTCTGAAGTATGTAAAAACTCAGCTAGCTTCTGGGAAACAGTGATAGTAAGGGTATATAAAGTTAAATATCTACTAAATTTACTGTTCTTTTCCACCATCTATGGAGATCTTAGCTTAACCAGGCTGTAAATTTTTTAACTGTCTCTCTGGGTTCTAACTCTTCCCTAACGTCTCTAGTCCGATGCTACAAGGCCTGAAGGTATTTAATAACTGCTAATGAAATTTAACAGCAATTGAAGAAATCAGTTATTGAAAAATCATGGTCCCTATTTCCATGCCTTCAAATTCAAAACTTTTGATCACAGTAATGATTTAATCAGCATAAGCATCATTAAGGCCAATAGGGAAACTAGCATATCTAAGCCACCATCCAATGCCTGTATCATATTCAAAGAGGTTTGGTATGTGATAATAAAAAAACTACAGTCTAAATGAAAGAAGTAGTTCTAATGTTCCTACTGACAACATCTCTTATTGGTACATCCAGGTACACAGTGATCTGCACATGGTGTTTATGAGCACTTTTTCATTTATTCATTCATTTAACCATGGGATATAGTTTTGCTAAAAATGCACACAAAATAGGAGTAGGGAGGGTGGGGGAGAGAAGTTATTGAAGCACATTAAAACATATGCAACATACTTTAAAGTTCTTACCACAATCATTTCTGAAGGCTCTAGTACAATACAGTCACATCCTCTTTTTCCTCCAAACTGTTTACCAAAACTGTGAAAACAGAAAAACAAGTTGTTTGTTTTTACCAACGTGGGATGGTGAGAAAACAATGTAGTAAAGAGACTATAATTATCAGAATACCATTTGATAAACACCTTTTTTTCTAAGTTGGTCTCTAATTAGTGATATGAAAAGTACCCAAGTCTCAGAACTTCCTAAATACTGCAATTTACGTTGAATTAAGGAAATATAATGGGCAGTAACTGACAGAGAGCTTTTAAATTTACAAAATACTTTACAGACATTATCTCCTTTAATTTTTTACAATAATCATATGAGATAGAGAATGAAGACAAAACAAAGAGTGGTGAAGTGATTTTCCCAAGGTCGCACAGTTAGTAAAAGAGTCAAATAGAATTCAGATCTTCCAACTTGCAGTATATTATTCTTTCTATTTTTTTACACTGTTTCTATGCTTCATAAATATTTGGAAATTATACTGAAATACTGGCTCAATCTGTCTTTCATTTTGAACTTAATGCTGTTTCCTGTTTCTTCCATAATTGTCATAAGCTAAAGACTATAATAAAAAGCGATCCAAAACAAAATAGCAATTCAGTGAATCTTTTCTATTATTCTAACACACGGTTGTTTCCTTCTAAACAAAGAGAATATTACATGAAGAAGTTAAAGAAAGCTAACTTTTCTAACTCTAATAAAAATAATTAGTAAGTGTAAATCCAAGTACCAAGTCTTATGATGCTCGATATTACTTGAGTACACATCTTTAATACCATCATATCAAAATTAAAGAAGGAAATTCCAGGGTTGCTATGGGATACAAACATAATCTTGTTTTATTAGACACTAAGTGGTTTTGATACAAGTCAAGGCAATTTATATGAAAAGCCAGAACTTAAGGTTCTGATTCAGAAAACCATCCGGAGTTTAAAAAAAAAAATAGCACTCATTTTGACAAGACTTTCTACAGAAAAATAGCAGAGAGCTCCTTCAATGGTCCAGAAATTGAGACCAATATAAAAAATGATCCCTCTAGTCTAGATTACTCAAAAATCAATTATGTTAAAGTCTGGTGTGATTAAATTATGATTATGGTATGGCAGTAATTCAAAATAAGGAAATATAGCATAAGGTGGTCAATGAGGTAGCTTCATCAAAGAAGCCAGGAATATCCTCTACAACCAGCCATAGATCAAAAACCAGGGAAACGGCACCTACTGCACCTTAACAAAGTTATGTATTTATTTTACTTATTTTTAAATGATGTATTATGAACTTAATTTTAAACATTAATTTTATGATATGTTAGAGTACCAAACAAATTCAAAAGCCATGGGTTGGGATTTCAGCTTTGCAATGTATTAGCTGTTTAATTTTGGGCAAATCACTTTAACCTCTCCTTGTACCTGGTTTTCTTAATCTGTATCATGGGGATAAATGTGGCGCCTACCTCACCCCACGGTCACTGTGAAGATAAAATAAAATCATGTACTATGAAGATTAAATGAGATAAAATATGCAAAGCATTTTATAAACATAAAGTGATGGACAAATATGAACAATTATTATTACAACTATTTTAGAATGCACAGAAGGCAAACAGCCAATTTCTTTTTTGAAAAGCTCTAAAACTATTGTCTATCTTTAAAGAATTAAAACATTAATCTACTCACCTAATATCTAAGAACAAACATAAAACCCTTTCAGCATAGCAGAACATTTACTTTTAATGAAGAAAGCTAAGCTAAGTTACTTTGATCAACACAGCATTTGTTAAGCACCTACTGGCTGAAAGGTAGTGTATTAGGTTCTATATGAGATAAAAAGTTTAACCAAGTTAGGGTACTTAAAAATCTTGGAATTTACAGAATAGAAGGGAGATAAGACAATAAAGAATTTTGATGGACATTACATAATAAGTCCAACAGAAAGCTGCAAAATAAAATGCTACTTTTGAGAGACCTAAAGGTGACAGTCACTACAAACATGGGAAGGTATTATGAAGGAGGTATATGAATTGTATGTAATTTGCATTTAACTACACCTTGTATTTATCCCTATTGTCTTTTATTTCTTCTGTACATGCTTTTAAATTAAGTCATTGTTCATTTTAAATGAACTCATCCACCATTAGAATGTAAGCTCTTTAATAGCAAGGATTATATCATTCTTTACATTTGTATCCCAAGCACCTAGCATCAGGCTTAGCACTTAATTAATTCATGATGATTGGCTGAATGACTGACATTAAAAGAATAGTAGAAATGCAAAAAGGCATAAGAACAGCATAAGCAAAGGCAAGAAAGAGGAAAAACACATGGAGTTTTTTCAGAACAGAAGGAAGATAGGTTTGGCTAGATCAATCAATCGAAAGTATTTAGTGGAATATATTGAAGGAAGTAATACAAAATAAGGCTAGAAAAGTACAGTGGCACCAAATTGTAAAATGGCCTTGAATGCCAAGCTAGGCATTTGAATTTGCAACATGATGTAGTGGAAAGAGCACTGGGTTCTTTCTTTCCTGACTGTCTGTGTTTGAGTGAAGGGGCAGTAACTGTTGTGAGCCTCTGGATTCGAAGAATGTCAATGGCCTACTCTCCTAATCTGAGCTGACATGAAGCTATGAGGACATGGACTTGCTATTGAAGGATTCCTGCTGTGTCTATTCTTTCCTGCCTTAGATAAAGGAAATATTAGAGAGTAAACAGACTAGGGTGTGATCTTGTGAGCTTCCAAAAAGGTAAAGAGAGCATCAGGGGGTCAAATAACTAGAATGAACACGCTTCACTCCGCCCTGCAATAGAACGACTTTGTCTACCAACTACATTCAGAAATAAACTTGGTGAATTTAGTGCCTTGTTACAAACATCTTAATTTAAGCCCACTGTCCCTAGGGACTGAGGCACTTAAGGGAGAGTGTGCTCCTAGTCCCGGGGGAATGTGTACTTCCTTACTTGTCCTATCTTTTCAGTAAATATTCTTTTTATAAAGGCTAATTGATGTTAATTAGTTAAATGATATTTGGGCACCAATTAATGAGTTATTGAGAAGATATTAATAGGCACAGGTTAGGTGAGAGGGAAGAGATACCTAAGTGACTGATATTAGGAAGAACACACCAAAATGGGGGCTCAAATTGATAGCATTAGAAGATAATCCTAACTCCTTTGGCGTACTTCTAGTGTTTATATAGATAGTCTTGCTCTGGGATTTATCTTGCCAGTATATACAATACATACAACATACAACATACATACATACATATATGTATGTATGTATATAAACAGTAACGAGTAAACATTAAGTTCCATGAAGACAAGGGCTATGTCTTATAACATCTTTTTATCTATCATTCCCCCTTACACAATATTCTATGTACAGTAAGCCCTAATAAATGTCTGCTAAATCACGGAGCTAATGAACAAATGCACACATATTATACAGTATGGGCACTGTAATAAAGTCACTGGGGATAATAAACCTTAAAAAAAAGGATTAAATTCAGAGTCTGCATAAATCTGAATTTGAATCTCCCCCATGACACTTACTAGCTGTATAACCTTGGGCAATTACCTCAACCTTCCTAAGTGTCAGCTTCCTCATCTGAAAAATAGGGACATGGTAATTACATCTTACAAGACTGGTCAAATAACATTGTGTGTAAAAGAATTTGAAAGCCTTGAAGTGCTATAAAAATGTCAGCTATCAGTATTATTACTTGACAGTAAATAGTCAATGAAGACTTTTTCTGTGTAAGATTGCTATGTTCAGTTCTATGTATCGAAAAATAATCTGGCAATGGGCTGAAGGATGGATAGGATAAGGAAGAGAATGAAGGTGGGAGAGCCTATTAGGAGGCTCCTACGATAGCCTGTATTAAGGGCCTGTACTAAGGCAGTACCAGTAGGAATAAAAAGGGAAAAATATGAGAGATGTTCTACAAATGGCAGGATTCAGTAACTGGCTACATCACAATGCCTTATTTAAAACTTTGGAGATACAGGCTACATGCCAGCAACTAAAGCAGAAACAGCATTGTTAATCTACAAGTGGCAGGGCTTACATTTGATAAAGAGTAAGTACTGATACATTCACAAGTGCTTTTGTTTACAACGTATTAAGTAAAGCGACTATCTCCCCCCAAAGACAGTTAAAATGCATTCTTAAAGGTCATGCAATATCTAAGTCACAATCTACAGCAGCAAAAAAACAAAAAACAAAAGAAAAAACCAAGAATCTGCAAAGCTTTCATGAATCATAGGTATCATCTACATTGTTCACCTTCCCCCCATCCACCTCATCCAGAAAATAACAGGAGATTTCAGAAAGTTTTTCTGTTCTCCAAAATAAGATCAAATTCATTTGGGCTGAAATATAATACCTAAACAAACAGCAGACTGAAGTGATGAAAGGAATTTGTCAGATATTCCTTTAAGATAATTAATCAATTGATTGATAAGATAATTATATAAGACACTCAGGCATTTTGATGAACCACATAATTTAACAAACCCTATTACTTCCATAACTATATTTGTATGTTACCATGATCTGAAATTTGGAAATGGCCTACCGACAAATTCACTGACAAATATAATCATGTACAATTAACTCTCTCACACTTGTTCTGCCTTATTAGAAACCTTTGACTCTGGGGTGAAATTTTATCGTTAATCTTTGGGTTTAAATTTTATAATATACTTACACTGTTGTTGTTTTTTAACATGTATCCTAAAAGCTGTGGCAAATGGCTGCATTTTATTAAACTCAAACACCTTTCTAACCTTTTGCAATGCTGTATGCTACTAATTTTCCTAATAATCACATTAAAAGTGCAGCTTGTGAAAATTGACATCATTTACCTACATCTAAATTTTTTGGGACTCAGTTACAATTTTTCCTCACATTCACCAAAGAGTTAATAATAGCCTAAAAAAAACCTGCCAAAATGATCACTTCAATTTTTAAAGGTTTTTTAACATCTTATAATACACCCATGAATTATCAGTTTTATGAAAAACGAAGGAACTGAACACAGAACTACCCCTTGATGAGAGTTAGAAATGATGCCAAAAGGAGAGGATAGCATGTGTAACTCACATAAAATCTCAAACTACAACTTCAATAAAATATTAACTTCAATTATTCGACTTTGCCAGAGCTGCTAATATGTAACAAAAGACCTGAGCTTTAGCTTTAATTACCTTGAAAAATCTGGTAAGCAATAAACTGGGTATAAAGTAAATAAATAATAGCACTGTTTGAATCATTAAGCAAAGCTAGAATTATAGAAGTGAGAGCTACATTGCTCTCTCACCAGAAGAGTAACATTAAAGAAGCTACATGGTACACAGCAGCAATGTGGTAAATTAAGCAGAGATTATAACCCAGCCCTAACAGTAATTCATAGCTATCATCTATAGGAGGCAAATCTCTTTCCCTCTTTAGACTGCCATTTTTCTAGCTACAAACATTGGACTGTACATCTCTAATATCTCTAACATCATGTCTAGCTTCAAATATTATGGTTCTTTCCATCTTGGCCCTTCTTTGCTCTAACATCAATAAAATTTGGAAACTTTGTTGTGTTTAAAGGAAAAATAAAAAGAAAGGTAAAATTCACATTGCCTAAGGTAAATGAGCTTCTAAGATTCTCATAGTCTAAAATTCAAAAGATCTTGGGGTTCAATAAACTGATACTAGCAAACCTTCCCTAAATATAGCTCTTCCACTACCACTCCTTTACTCACCTCAGAAAGATCTACCTACTCATACTCCTAATAATCTTTGCTTTTTTCCCCCTAATTCTACTCAAACTATACTAGCATCTGGTTCCTAGGAGATCCATTAACTTTAGTTCTTTTATGCTAATTAGAGGTTCCAGGGATGGAAGCATTTTACATTGATCCAGATGTAACATATACAGTTAATCTTCTAGACTATTTTCTCTTCTCCCCTGAATGGAGAGCATGCTAATTTTTTAAATGTTTTATTGATGACATTTTTTACACCAATATCACTTCCCAATAACCCATATCCTCTAAGAACTCTCTCTTATTATCCAGAAAAAAAGTTGAGCCAGTCAGTTAACACCCTTACTATGTGCCAGGCACTGGGGTAAATGCTAGAGATACAAAGAAGGGCAAAAGCTAGTTCCCTGCCTTCAAGTGGCATACACTCTCATGGCAAAACAATATGCAAATGACTGTGAATCTATAGGATAGTCATATACATATATACATATATACACATACACACACACAAACATAAATATACACATAGAATATATGAAGGTAATCTGAAAGGACAAGATACTGGCAATAAGATTGGGATTGGGAAAGACCACTTAAACTTGAGGATGCCAGGGAAGGCCAGAGATAAAAGTGGGGAAGGGAGAGAAATCACCCTGTGAAATAACCAGGGCAAAGGCAGAGTGACAGGAAATAAAAGTGTCACGTTCAAGGACCAGGATTAAGGTATAAGAAGGCTGGAAAAATAGGAAGGGGTCCAAGTTATGAAGAGCTTTAAATAACAGAGGACTTTATATTTGATTTTAGAAGTAATAGAGTGCCACTGGATAGCATGGGCTTGACATGGTCACACTTATACCTTAGAAAAATAAGCCTAATGAAATAGGCAAAAATTCAAAGCAGGAAAATCAACTAGAAGGCTAATGCAGTAGTCCAGAGAAGAGGAAAAGAGGACCTGAACTGTAGCTTCATGAATAAAGAGAAGGAGTTAAATACAGGATACTGTGAAGGCAGAAATGACAAAATTTGGCAGTGGACTGGAAATGCAGTATAAGTTAAAGTCAAGAGCGAAGGATGATACTGATGTTAGGATGATACTCATCCTGAGTGACTGGAAGGATGGTGGTATCCTTGACAATAATAAGTAAGTTCAGAAGGGAGAGGGTTTGAGAGGAAAGAAAATGAGTTCTGTTTTAGACATGTTGACATTGACATGTCTACAGCAGAGCCAGTTCAAGATGTCGGAAGGGTAGTTGGAGATATGTGGTTTAGCTCAGCAGAGAGACTAGAGTGGTTATATAGATGTGAATAGATATATAGACATGTGTATTGAGATGATAAATGAACCTGTGGGAGCTGATGAGATCATCAAGTGAGATAATATAGAACAGAAAGAGGAAGGTAAGGATAAAGCCATTATAGGACATTCATGGTTAGCAGGCATGGTATGGATGAAGAACCAACAAAGGAGACTGACAAAGACAGGTCTGATAAGAAGGAAACCTACAAGAGAATAATGTCATGAAAACCTAGTAAGGAAAGAATATCCAAGAGGACGAGGTCAACAGTGTCAAATGCTGTAGACATTCACTACAAACAGGTCAAGGAGGATCAGGATTGAGAAAAGGCAATTAGATTTTTACAATTAAGAAATTGTGGGTGACTTTGAAGAGAGCAATTTCAGTCAAATGGTGAGGTCAGAAGCTAGAATGAAAAGAGTTCAGCAGAGAGAGTAAGGAAACACGCTAAGGTCTCAATCCTAAATGGCTTTCTCACGAAGTTTAGCCAGGAATGGCAAGAAAGCTATGACACAATAAGAAACAGGCACTGTAACTGCTATCTTGACAATAAATGCATTGTTCCACACCTGTGGTCCACCACTTCTCTACCAAGAGAAGAGAAACAGGCACCCCTCATACTTTAGTTTCCAAAACTATGGTGTATATCTGAATTTGGCCAATGTAGAAATAATGTAACATAAAAAGAGCAAGCACTACAAATGAAGGCTCAAAGTACAGACTGACCAAATAAGCTCTAGGTCAGTTCCTTAACTTTTTAGGGGTCACTGACCCCTAGTATGGTGTAGCAGTATGGTGAAACCCATGGATCCCTTCTTACAAGGTTATATTTAAATGCATGAAATAAAATATACAGGATTACAAAAAGAAACCAATTATACTGCAATGTAACTATCTTTAAAAAAAAAATTCACAGGCCCAAGTTTAAAAACCCCTACTCTAAACATTTAAATATAATGCTATCAGAAATAGAAACTACAGTCTGATCCCTGTCAAGCATCTTCCATGACAGATGCTAAAGAACTGTCTCTTTATTCACATAAGCATAAGCATCACAAAACCAAGCAAAACAGTTTATAATACAGATTATCTGACCTGAAATCACTACTATAACAACACTCTTATAACATACCTTTGAGGAGCGAAAATTACAGATTCATTCATAAATACAGATCCAGAAAGAAGAATATACCAACATCTGGCAATGGTTTCAGGGCTATAAAAAAGAAATATTTAGTCACATTTATTTAGTCTCAATACTAGGTGAATTCAAACTTTATGCAAGTCATCGAAAGTCTTTGCCAATAAGTGTTCTCAGTATAATGATTTAAAGAAAATTTTTAATTGCTAATCAAATGGGTTATGCTACTCAGATTTCTTCAGTATCTAGATTACCACACGGGTCAAAACTGTTCAAATTACATTTAACTGATAGGGTTTATTAACTCATGTGGCTAAATTACTTTAGACACAGCCTAAAGGTCACATATTCCATTTCTATATTGGCTATCTAGCTTCACAGAAACAAAATTCTGTTACATAGTAAATACTAACTCTGGTCTAATTACAAAATAAACCAGAAGAATACATGTGAAGAGTCATGTCATTTCATAAAACTACCCCAAAAAATTAACCCTTTAAGCTTCTTTCCTACTGATGATGGTCTAAGGATGTCTGTACTCAAAATAAAATATTTTACGTATACACCCAGTCCCTGAATGCTTAACATTTGTGTGCGTAGGAACTGTTCCAAAATCATGATATCTAGCAACAGTCTAAATATTGGGTGTACCAATGTCATTAAATTGGAGACCCTAAATAAATTTGGTAGCTAAAAAATTCCATTCATATAGGTATTAACTTTTTTTGGTTTATCTGGTTTTCCTTTGGCAACTGGTACCAATCTGCCAAAATGTAGACCTAAAAGTAATCATGCTTTACAATTTTATATAATTCATAAATGACCAAAACAAAATCAATCATTTCTAGTTGTCTGTATAATTTCTGTTTCATAACAACTGATACCAAAGGTAAAATTTAATAAAACATTAAAGCCACCCAAGTTAGTAACACTTACCAAAAAAGAATTTGATTGCCATTATATCTTTCATACCGTGCTCTTGCAGATATTAACCTGATAAACAAAAATATAAGTTAAATCTTTTATAACAGACTATTATTCAAGTTACATAGCTTAAAGGACGACCTTTGACATAAACTAAGCTATCACTGAGCAGTGTTACATTATTAGATCCAATCAGTTATAAATCCCATCTTCTGTTCAAAGAAGCACTTTCAAATATGTTTTTAAAAATCATATTGTTGTACAATATATTTACTAAACTTTCCTTTTTGACAAATCAAGCTTATCAATTTATCACTAAAACACAAAGCATGGCTTAATCTCTACATTTTAAAAACATTATTACTTCAGGTCAGTCATGCTCTTTCCCTGTGTCGAGCCCTTATCTGACACATGGCAACAATTTAATAATTTCCATTATCCAGAAGAAAATAAAAAACTCCCTGTATATCTAGAGCATTACAGCAAAAGGCACCAAGGCTAGGGCGAGAAGCCTTTAAGAATAACATGGTTACTGAGGGATAAAGGATGTCATCTCTGGAAGTTAGAATCAGCTAGACAGGAAAAGAGAAATGAGAAAAGCAGCCAGTCAACCACAAGCAGACAAGAAAAATAAACCAGCACGGAGGTAACACAATCACAACAAAAGAGATGAAACCAGGATACAATCTGAGTCCACATCTAGACTACTGAGTCACCATTTACATAAAATATAATAGAACCAAAGGATCATAAAATCATAACTAAAGCTACAAAGGACCTTATAGGTCACAAAGATTTTTTTTTTTAAATGAAGGAACTGAGGCTTAGAGAAGTTAAGTGACTTACCCAAAGTCACCGATTGGGACAGTCAGAATTCCCAGGTCCTCTGAGAATCAGGTCCTCTGACTATGTTCAGCAGGACAAATTCAGCACTCTTGCAGATAATATGAAATTTCAGACCAGATTCCTCAGGCACCAAGAGTGCCCTAAGACTACTGCCCCTGCCATAAGTTCATACACGCTCAGTGAATTCACACCAATTTTAATATTAAGCTAAATGAAAAAATAAGCTCCAAATCTGCTCAAAAAAGTTCAAATTATTTTTTGAATATTTACCCCACTGCATCCTACCCCAGACAATAGCTGCCTGTATAGAAGTTAGAAAATTCTTTAGATCAACCCACATCTTTAAATAAATTAGAACCTGAGCTCAAAATCTGCCCTGAATGTGGGGTCTACAATATTTTGTACAAAGTGTTACAATATTCTTCTCCTTCATCAATATTATTAGCAATGATATGGATATTTATATCACATATTAAGACTTACAAAGCACTTTACATCCCTCATTTCATTTGGTCTTCAAAAGAACTTTGTGAGCTAAGTGCTAAGGATATCATCACCATCCCTCACTCTCCCTCACGCCACACATCCAGTTAGTTGCCAAATCCTGTAGTTTCTACCTCCAAAAAAATCTCCTGACATCCAATTTCTCCCTAATTCAGACAACCATCAGCGTAAGTTCAGGCCCTCAACTCAGGCCTCATGAGATCCCTCACCTGGACTATTTCAATGGTCTCCTAATTGGTCTTCCAGCCTCAAATCTCTCCCTTCGCCAATCCATCCTCCACATAGCTGTCAAAGTAATTTTCCTTAAGCACTGTTCTAACTATGTTTCTCTCCTGCTCAGTAAACTCCACTGTCTCTCAGTTGACTCTAGGATCACATACAAACTTCTCTATTTGGTTCTTAATGCCCTTCACCACTGGCCCCAATCTATCTTTCCAGACTCATTGTCCATTATTTCCCTTGTTCACTCTAGCTTTGTCTCTGTAAGTCACACAACAAACTCTACATGCTTCTGAACTAGACATTCTTCCATACCCCACATGTACAGCATGCACTCCACTCCCTCCTTACCCCTGCCTCCAGAGAATCGTTTCTTTCTCACTTCTACACGAAATCTTCCCCTATTTCCCCTTCTCCAATTACTTTGTATTTACTTTGTATTTATTTTATATTTTTTCTATACATATTTATTCTGTATATGGTTATATATGGACATACTGTTCTCCAAAAGAATATAAGCTTCAAGAGGGCAAGAGTGATTACAGTTATCCCTTCCACATCGAAGGTGTTAAGGGCTCGTGACAGCCTCATGATCTGGAAAACCTGTGTAAAATCTTTTGGCCCTCCCTTCATACCAGATAAGTCTGAATTTTTTCTTTTTCTTTTATGGAGTGTTTACAGTACCTTATTGTAAAAATATGGGTTAAGTATTTGGTCACAGGCTCTGTGTTGTCTGCTGGCCTTCACATATCTTCTGGAGCTTCCACAAAACTCCCCAAAAATTCCCATTTAATTTCCTATGCCAATCCATAATATATCAAAAGCGCAATGCAAAGTTGTGATGCAAAAGGGATAACTGTAATTTTTCTTTGCATCCCCAAGGCCTAGCACAGGGCCTGTTACATAGCAGGTATTAAACCAATGCTTATCGATCAACTAATCTCCTTTGTACAAAAGAGGCTCAGAGAGCAGGATGGCACAGCACATTAGATAGTATGCTACACTTCAGAATGAAGCAGACCTGGGCTCAAATTCAGCCTCCGATACTTCATAGAATTATAGATTTGGAGCTGTCAGGCACCATAGAAATCAGTCTCTAACAGAAACAGGGTCCTCTTTCCTTTATCCCCCATGTGGTTAATCTAGTTCTTTTCCTAAAAGACAAAGAAGCTAAGATTTGATTGACACAAGAGGATAAGGCTCAAGTTATCTAGCTGTTGTTGATACAGCTTCAAGCTGTATTGATATAGCTTAATATTCAACTAAGCCATAAAAAGGCCCACCTGTATCAAGTATAGGCCCTTCAGATTTGGCAGGCACCAGACTCTGTCTTGCTGACCAGAATGGTTTCCACACAGAGGTAAGGGAAGGCCACATCCTGTATCCTAGTTCAGTATCCTTTCCAAACTCTGACCTATCAGTGTTTCATTTAATTCCAATATGAGACATAAACTACCAGGAAACTGGCTTGAGTCAGGTCTAACCCATTCAGCAGTCCAATCTTTTCATTTACAGATAAATAAACTTAAGACCCATAGAAGGAAAAGTAATTTGCCAGGGACACACAAGTAATAAGTGACAAAGATGAGACCTTAACCCAGGTCCTGCACTCCAAATCTAGCATTCTTTTCACTAATGGCTAGGTGACCTTTGGCAAGCCACTTCATCTCTCAGTCTTAGTTTCCTCATCTGTAAAAAAGGGATAACTATAGTACCCATCATTTTTGTGAAGCTAAAGTGAGTTAATGTACATAAAATGCTTTGCAAAGTTTAAAGTGCTATATCAAATGTTAGCTCTAGTAAAAGAGTCAAGATACAAACTCAGTTTCTAGTATCCGCAACTAGAACACTCAGACCTACACCAAACTCCCTGCAATGTTAGTCAAACTTTTCTTTTCAAAAAACCTTCCCATAATCTACTCTACTAAGTGTCATTAGCAAGCAAGCTGAACTAAGACCCCTTCTCCCAACCAAAAATAAATTCTTGAGTTTTCAAGTATGTTGTATTAAAAAAAGCTTAAAAACACAGGAATGAAGTATCACTGCCTTAAATTTCACTTCTCAATTTTTTTCATGAGTAAAGGGGTCTAGCGATGCCTGCCGGGCCTTGAGAATAGGAGAAATATAAAGCAGGCCGTCTGTTGTAGACTGTAAACCTTGGTTGGCAGGCCTGTGGGGATTGAAATTGTCCAACCTACAATAAAAGAAACTGAGGCAGAGTTCTGAGCCAAAGGCACTTCATTAAAGGGTCCATGGTTCCCTCTAATGAAGTGGACCTCAGATCTTCCTCACAATTTGAGATCCCTCCTTCCAGGACCTTGTTTTCATAGGGTTTGATACCCAAATATGCAAAACAGGCATGGTAAAATACAGAATCTCATTGGTCACCTTGCTCTTGAGGGCCAAAAATGACATATTAACAGGAAGGGTCTTGGGTTGGGTGAGGCATGGGGCATCTCCACTAAATGGTCATAAGATGGTCATCTACTCATGCTGGACAAGAGAGAATAGTCCATAAGTACAAAAATAAGTTGGCCTTTCCAATGCATCAAGACATCCCACCCACGCTGGGTTTGGAAAGGGAATTCAAGCAAAGCAGAATGGCGGTGTCTTTGTCAGGATTCCCGTGGGTGTGTAAGTGAGCCTCATAACTCAGGCCTGCCTGACTCCAGGCCTGGTGCTTTTATTCTCTGCACCACTTTGCTACCCAGACCCCGAAATGCCAAGGAATGGGAATGATGATGACTCTTCTACCCAACACCCCAAATCTTGTACAGATAAAGAAATCAACAGAGAACACATCATTTTCAAAGGCAGAGAGCAGCATCGAAATATATTATCATTATCATCACCTCTAATAGTCACAATCTAGGATGAGGCTTCAACTATAAGTGAGTAGGACACTCACATCCTTCAGTTCTATAATATATCACTAGATAAATTACACTTTTTAAAAATACCAAGTGACTATTACAAAATAAAGATGATTTTTAAAAAAAATATGTTAAACTTAATTGTTCACAATACTGAATTTCATAACTATAACAAAATCAACTAAAAGGAGTTTTGAAATATTTTTCACTATTATGGATTTTTTGTATAACAATATTTAATCTTTATTCAGTAAGCCCTGTCTACAATGAAAACCACTAAAGGGAAACAGCTTTTTATTCTTTCTAGGTTTTTGTTTGTTTTGGTTTTTTTTTTTTAGGCAATTGGGGCTAAGTGACTTGCCCAGGGTCACACAGCTAGTAAGTTTTATTCTTTCTAATGACTCACATCTTTCTTCTTATTCTGGGGTATTTGTTGGCTATTTACCTTAGCTGATGTTCCCTGAGATTTGACAAAATCTCCATCCCGTGAAGATAAGAATAAATAGTATTTAAATCCTGTAGAAAGAAAAACAGAGATTTTAGGTTTTCATTCAAATAGAAATTTCTAAGTACAAAGAGGTCCTCCTCCCTTCTTTGTACCCCACCTTCAGTCCCTACCCCCGTCTCCACATTAATTTGGACTTTAGATTTCTGGCAATCTCAACCACCCAGGACATAGTTGTGAAATCTGCAGTTAACTGAAACAGATCTTTGATGACAGCTGAGTTTGGAATCAAAAAGACCTGAGTTCAGATCCAGCTTGAAACATCTACTTAGCTATGCGACCCTGGGGAAGTTATTTGACCTGTCTGCTCAACTGTAAAATGGGGCAAGTGATTTAACCTATCTGCTTCAGTTTCCTCAACTGTAAAAGATTCCATCAATCTCCTAGGGTTGTTATAAAGATCAAATAAGATAATATTTGTAAAATGATTAGCCCAGTGGTGCCTATATAGTAGGCACTATATAAATACGTATTTCCTCCCTTTTCTCCCTCCCTTTAAAGGTAAAACAGCTGTCACAAAGCTCATCAATTTTACTACTTGACAAAGAAGGCACAGAAAACAACCAAAGAAGCTTGTGACAAGTAGTGCGATGGCTGGGATTTCGTGCCCCCTACAAAGGGAAGCTATGGAATGAGTTTTTTGCTCTACCCTCTAGCCATCCAATCAAGATGGGCTGAAGCAAGAAGCAACTAGGGGTACTGACAAGATGAGTACCAAGATGAGTACGAATGTGATGCTATGAAAACACACTGAGGTGAGAGAAATTCAGGAAGAGGGATGGGAAAGGATTCATGAAGGAAGCACTATCTCAAATGAACCCTGAATGCTGGTCGTTATTTTAATAGGTAGAGATTGGGAAAGAAGAGAATGAGAAGAAATCTTTGACTTGTTGCTCCTTCTCTCTCACTGAGTTAATTACCAAGTCCTGTCATTTCTACCTCAACATCCTTTGCATTAGTCTCCTCCTCACCATTCACTTTAAAACAAACCTGGTTCAGGCCTTCATTCCTTCTCTTTTGAAGTATAATATTATACCCAGTCTCTTCTCTCTTAAAACCATGCTTTTCATGGCTTCTAAAGTAATTTTCCTAACACTTGGATCCAAACACATCACTTTGATATTCAAAATAGTTCAGTGGGTCCTAACTTCCTACTATAAGCTCCTGATCTTATCATTCAAGGCCTTACAGCCTGGGGCTCTACCTTTCCAGCTTCATCTCACCTTATTCTTCATGCATGCTATCCTACTGACTTGTCTTCTCTCACTCAGGCACATTTGCATAGACTTACACTGTCCCTATACATTTGTGAATCGACTAGACATTTCAACCTATTGAAATCCTTCTCTCTCTCTTCATCACACAGTTTAGTGGCTTCACCTTAAACAATTCTGAATAGAAAGAGACTTCTCCTCACTTTACAAATACAAAAATTGAGACTCAAAGGGGTAAAGTGACTTGCTTAAGGTGATGAAAGTGGTAAGCATCAGAGTCCTCTGACACCAAAGTAGGTGCTTTTTCCAGTAAGAAGTGATCCCCTTCTGCCCTCAAGGTCTAAACACAAAGATTTGGGAGTAATCTTCATAGAGATGATGGCTGGAGGCATGGAAGTGAATAAAAATGCCAAGGGAGAAAATACAGATTGTTTATGGCCCTCTTTAATTCTCTTTTGAGTAACATCAACATTTATGCTTCTGAAGATAACCAGCCCATGAAGGCACAGAAGAAAGAAAACCAGGATAGTGTGTGATCTTAGAAACCAAAAGAATTCTAGTAAGAGAAGAATACTGAGCAGCATCAAATGATGTGGGGAAACCAAGAAGGGACAGGGAGTGGAAAGTGAAAACCCCATTTGACAATTAGGAGGTTATCAGTGATCTTGAAGAGGGCAATCCCAGTAAAGTAGTAGAAGCAGGAGTGATAAATAAATGGAAGAAAAATGTAGACTATTTTCCCCAAAATTTAGTGATAAAAGGGAGACAGAGACAGAAGTACCTTTCACTGGCAGAGTAACACTAGTTAATATTTATTTCTAATTAAATGCTAGATAAACCAATTCTAAATATTTATATTACAAGGATTCCTAACTGTTGTTGGGTCATGGACCCTCTGTTGTCTGATGAAACTACAGACTTTTTCAGAATAATGTTTTTAAATATATAGAGTAAAATATGTAGGATTACAAAGGAAACCAACTATATTAAATGTTAAAAAAATGTTTTAATGCTCATGAACACGAAGTTAAAAACTCCTGAGCTAGCCCACAGCACTTCTTAAACTGCGGGTTGCAACCCCTGAATGTGGAGGTTGCAAAAAATATGGCAACAGTGAAAGATTTCTGAATGAGCAATCACTAAAAATTAATTCAAAACCAAATGTGTAATGAATCCAAGGTGTTTCTGGCAGCACTTGCCCACGTTGCATCATGCAACTTCACTGCAGCCTTGATCCTAAACATACAACATGCGCACTTTGCACTACACATGCCATGTCACACCATGCAATGCCAATAAACACTGCCAGAAACACTTCACCTTAGATTCAAGACTACTCTATGTTATGAAATGCAGTGCTTTTACTGTACATACAAAGTTTTCTGCTCTTACAGAAACATAACAATTTAATTGCAGAAAATTAAGATTTTTAATGTTTGCCTACCACCATTTCTCAGCATATAAGTATCAAATTAGTATATCTTTGGATTGGACTGCAACAGAATGTTTGATTTTTAAAATTGCCGTTATCTCCTTCTTTTACAGAAACATAAGCATTTAACTGAAGCAAGTAAAGACAAAAGCCTTTTAATAATATTTCTCCACCATTCCCACTGTATGTGTATATAAGTTGGAACATCAATTTTTCAAATTAAGCACAAATGTAATTTTATAAACCAAAGCTAGTATTTGAGAAATTACTAGAAATATTTATTTATATTTTAGGACAAAATATTTTTCAGCTATGGATAAGTAGTTAAATTTAGACAGAAGAGGTAAAAATACTGATGACAATGCAGCAGAGTCTTTGCTACCAGGTTGTAGTGCACCTAACTGACAAGAAAAAAAAATGTCAGATTATTTTTGCAACATGGATTTACTTCTAATAATGATGATATGGAAAAACTTCTTTGCTTAAGTTTTAATGAAGTTTTGGCTGCAGAAAGCATGAAACCAGTCCAACTAAAATGGCATCTTAATACCAAGCATGCAGTGTACTGCAATAAACCAAAGGAAGGTTCTGAATGACTTTTAAGATCTTCAAATAAAGAAAAACAATGTTTTGCAAAATTTGTTACTGTCAACAAAAAGTATTGACTTGCATCTTATGAAACTTCTTATTTAACTGCAAAAACTAAAAAGCCCTACATGATAGGAGAAGATTTCACGTTACCTACTGCTATTAAAACGTCAGAAATAGTTCATGGGAAAAAGTATGGGGATGAAATTCATAAAATTCTCTCTTTTTTTTTTTTTTTTGTGAGGTAATTGGAATTAAGTGACTTGCCCAGAGTCACACAGCTAGTAAAAACTCATAAAATTCTTTTATCGAATGATACTGTTTCCAAAAGAATTTCTGAAATTAGCATTGACAAATACCAGCAGCTTATTACGAGGCTTAAGAGTAGCCCAAACTTCGAAATTCAGTTAGATAAAATAACTGATATTTCTAACATGGCACAGCTGTTATTTTATGTAAGATAAGTTTATGAAGGAAACATACATGAGAAATTATTGTTTTGTCACCTTTTGGAAGGGAACCCAAGAGAGGAAGATATATATCTTGAAGTTGATGAATTTTTCACAAATGAAGGTTTACAGTGGGAAAACTGCATGGAAGTCTGTACAGATGGTGCTGGAGCAATGATGGGCAAGAATGCTGGATTTGTAGCAAAAGTTAAAGCTGGTGGCAATGAACGTATCACTTTTACTCACTGCATGATCCATCAGGAGGCACTCATAGCCAAAAAGAAATCACCAGAATTAGCTGGCTTAATGATACTATCAAAACCATTAACTTCATTAAAAGCCATGCCCTTAACAGTCATTTGTTTTCAAACCTTTAGAAAGAGGTGGACTCCAGTTACAAAAGCTTATTACTCCATATGGAGGCAAAGTGGCTCTCAAGAGAGCGAAATTTAAACAGATTTACTGAAATTGAAATATGAAGTTGTTATATTTTTGACTGAGCAGAAATCTAATTTTGTTAATTTTTTTCATAATGACATGTTTTTCAAAACTGTGTTATTTGTCAGATATTTTCAAAAAACAATGATTTAAACATGTTGCTTCAAGGAAAAAAATTATAACACATTTATGTTAAAAGGTAAAACTCAAAATTTTTACTATAAAAAGTTAACATGTGGAAGAATAGTGTGGAAATTGGTTCTTTATAAATGTTTACAGCTACAGATGATTTTATAATTGAAAAAAATCTTCCCAAAGATTTAATTGTAAGTTATAATTGATCAGCTGAAGTGTTTGGAGACAGTTTTAGAAATACTTCCCTTCAAATTCTGATTCTAAAAAAAAAAGTTGGGTTCATAAACCATACTCAATTGAAATCAAAAACGTCAGTCATTTGCCATTAAAAGTTCAATCAGAATTTGCTGAGTTATCAAGCAACACAGGTTTAAAACTTGAGTTTCCTAAAAAATCATTAGATGAATTCTGACTTGGGATTAGGGCATATTTTCCAACAATTTCTGAAATGGCCCTAACCATACTTCTGCCATTTTATACTACGTATTTATGTGAAGTGGCATTCTCAGCATCAATGATTATAAAATCAAAATATTGATCAATTCTGGAAAAATGTTGAAGATGCTCTATGACCTACAATATCAAATCTTCCCCCAAGATTTAATTCTTTATGTAAAAATAAACAAGCACATCCATCTCCTTAGTGTGCAAATTTGCTTTTATCTTTAATAAATGGTAAAATTATATGTATATCAAAGAATTGTTTTAAAATAAATTTCTTTATGATTTATCATCACCATGTTTTCATTTGTGTA